AGCTTTCTAGCCACTCATCCCCAAGCCTGCATCGCTACATGGGGTTATTGTGACCCAAGTGCAGGATCCGGCACTTGGCCTTGTTGAACCTCATAAAATTGACCTTGGCCCATCAATCCAGCCTATCCAGGTCCCTCTGCAGAGCCTTCCTACTCTCGAGCAGATCAACACTCCCACCCAGCTTAGTGTCATTTGCAAACTAACTGAGGGTGCACTCAATCCACATATAAGTGAAACACTATCAAGTATGTTATCTTCTGATTTTTACATTCTCATTTCAGTCTTTGTGGAGATGTCTTATCACTGTGAGATAAGTAAGAACAGGTTTAAGGACACACATCTCCTAAATTCCCCACTCTAGCTTGAGCTTTAGAATTTTACCTACTTGGTTAGACAAAATTAATGCAGTCTTTAACTCAGATCAATAAATTAAAAAATCTTAGGAGCAAAATTCTACTATCCTAGATTAGCTACTTGTAGTGCTACTTGGAGTGATAACTGTTTAAATTATTTGTCCATAAATGGATAAGAACAATTTTTCTGCTAATATTTCAGACAATTTTTTTAGAATTGCATAGAACTGCTTTTCTGGTTAAACATGGAATTACTTCTTTTTGCATCTGAAGAAAAGTTTAAATGTGTCTTAAATTCACTTACAAAATGCATTTTCTTTTGAACAGGTGTGGCAGTAAACAAGGGGAAGAAGATTACAGACCACTGTTTGAGAACTTCATTCAAGATCTTCTTTCCACAGTCAATAAACCAGAATGGCCTGCTGCAGAGTTGCTACTTAGCTTATTAGGAAGGCTATTGGTAAGGGATTCTTGTTTTTATCTATTATATTAATATAATGTTTTATTACAATGAAACTTGTTTTTTTCAACTCAAACTATTACAGGAATTCTTTCTGATTGGTGATAAACACATGCAGCATTTAAGGATTTTCTTACATGTATCGCTATTATGTAATGCATAGAAAATAAAATTTAGGTCAGAAGAAATTGATATGGAAATTAGTAAAGGTCATATTTGTACAGTTTCTCATGGAAGTCCACTTCTACTATTCCATGACATTTTCCACATTAAAAAAATGCCATTGTATAGCATCTAATAAGTTTATGTATTAATTTGGTATAAAGTCAGATTAATAACTGTATTCCTTTAGCACAGAACCTGAAAATAATTAAGTAGTTTGGTCCTTTACCAGTAATAATATATTTGCTTATGGAATGTGACATTTTACTGAATGTAAATATTTTTGTTGACGTGTTTTTTGAGAGTTGTTCTTCAGTATTACAATGTAATTAACACAGTAATTTGAGCTTTTTCTTGGAAATATGTTTTAAAGTCCTGTTCCTGGTAGAATGTAGCTTGCTTTATACTCGTGTGAATAATGAGGAAGTTGCATTATGGTGCTATTTGCTATTGCAAAGGATATCTGCTCTACTAGATGTCCAGTTTATTTTATAAAAATACATACTTAAAAAAAGTCCTCTAACAGGCGTATCTCTAGAGTGAGAGACCCAATAAAGGAAAAAATATTAAAGTTAGGAGTGTATCTGTGTTGTAATAGTAAATGACATAATTTTATGCAGCATGTAAGTTAGGTGGAATTTTTAATAATGTCAAGCAGTGTCTTGTGAGAAGAATCTCAGTTGCATAAATAAATACTTTTTAATAACATTTTTTTTCTGCTTTTCTTAGGTTCACCAATTCAGTAACAAATCTACAGAAATGGCATTAAGAGTTGCATCACTTGACTATCTTGGAACCGTAGCTGCAAGACTCAGGAAAGATGCAGTCACTAGCAAAATGGATCAAGGATCTATAGCCAGAATCCTCAAACAGGTGTGTGAGAGATCCTGTACTAGCTGGATTGAGATATATCCATTTAAAAACTTGAACATTTTAAAGATAGGTGAAAAACTGGTGTTGTGGAGAATGAGTTTTAATTGTTGTTCAGATTTCTGCATCAAATACACTCAATTTATAAGTATCACATTTGTCTTTCTCACACCATCTCCCTAGTGATCTTATTAAGGGGTTTATTACAATGGTAAAACCAGTATTTTTGTGACAATATAGAGGAAATAATGGAGCGAAAATTGGATTCTATCTTAAGAGGCCTTAAAAATATGTGTGTGTGTATATATGTGCATTTGCTATTGCAAATTGTAATTTAGCTTATGGCACTCATACACAGGCTTTAGAGTGTTTATCTGTAAAGTTAGTTTTTATGTGATGTAGCTGGTATTGGTTGTTTTTTTTTTACTGGACTTGCCTATATCTTTCATTAGAGAATGCATTTCTGCTATTGTTGCTTAGCAAAATGTCTTCAAATCTGCAAGGGTGGTAGCAATTAACAAAGCAATATATGGGTTTAGGCTTTCTATAGCACATAGTATGGTGAGAAAATCTCAGGTCTTATATGTCCTTTTAAAAATGTGGACTTGCACATTTCTTATGGATGCTATACATTTTTCTTCTGAACTACTAATTGTTCTCAGCATGATTAGATCTAAAGTTGAGTAGTCATATCAAGTTCATTTCCCTTTCAGCTACCTGAAAAGACTCCAGATCTATTATATGTATTTTATAATGACTGTTACAAATTTATGTTGAAGGAAAAATTTGTGCAATTTAAAATTTAACCCCTTGTTAACCTGAGAAGTCACTGTTTCAGTATTTAATATTGGTGAGAGAGCTAGTGATGACTTTTTATAGGTTGAAACTTGTGATTTCAGCCCTTCTTTTTTCCTCAGGGACAGAGGGTCTTCACACAAGATGATAGAATTAAAATTGATCAAATCAGTCAGCCTGTTTTAAAATCAGTCTTATTCTTTGTTAATCTTTTTTAGCATTTTAATGCACAGGCTAATTTGATTTGGTCTGTATAAAGTTTAGAAGTAATTGATTTAAAAATTGTTAGTTGTATTGATAATTGCAAAACATTAACTTAAATGTATTTTATATGTGGACATGCAGATTTTCAGATTATAATTACCACTGTGCAATATTCTGTTTTATAATTATCTTTCTATTTCTGATAGGTTTCAGGAGGAGAAGATGAAATTCAACAGCTGCAAAAGGCTTTGCTAGATTATCTGGATGCGAACACAGAAATTGATGCATCATTAGTGGTAAATTTCAGCTTTCTGACATCAAGTGTATATAAAAATAGTTTCAGTAACATGTACTGAATAGAATTATTTTCAGTCATGCATATTACTGCTTCAATTACATTGTTACCCTAACATATACTGTTGATTGTGTTTTCCAAAATATGGTTGATGCATTAGACTCACTTTATCTCATTGTAAATCTGTTAATTTCAGTCTTCTGTATTCTCTTGTTTTTGTTCTCTGTGTATCCTGCTGTATTTCTCCAGTTTTCTCGGAAGTTTTATATAGCGCAGTGGTTCCGTGATACAACTATGGAGACAGAGAAAGCAATTAAATCTCAGAAGGATGAGGATTCATCTGAAGGAACTCATCATGCAAAAGATGTTGAGACCACAGGACAAATCATGCATAGAGCAGAAAGTCGCAAAACATTTCTTCGCAGCATCATTAAAAGTGCTCCATCTCCGTTCAGTACATTAAAGTACGTTTCAGCACCACTGATTTCTTTATTAACCATGCACTTGACATTTTTTATAACTTTTTATAAACATGTCCTAATTAAAACATTGGCTTTATTGCAGGATGAATTCTGATATTGTGGACTATGAAGATGCATGTTTGATTGTTCGCTACTTGGCCTCTATGAGGCCATTTGCCCAGAGCTTTGATATTTATTTGACACAGGTAAACTGTGCTGGAATTCTTAGTACAGTGAAACATGGTTTCTGTTTCTAAACACTTTTGCTGTAGTATGCAATATCTGTTCATTGTTGAGCACAACAATTTAACAGGCCATGGTAACACCATGTGCCTTCATATTCTGTACTGATGATGTAAGTGTATATATTTCTTTTTCTTGCATTCATTTCATATTCCATATTGTACATACATTACTTTATTTGTCCATGTATGCATATGGCAAAATCATTATCTTAAATGTACACAGTAAAATGATAATTACAAAAAGTTGAAATCTTTTTTACAATTTCTGTAAGATGCATGCACATTCAGTAATATTAACTCATTAAATTGATCTTAATTTTATTTGAAAATACAAGACAACTTGGTCAGTTGTTTGTAGTGCATGATACTGTCACTTTGGAAGCTGTTGTTTGACCAGTGTGATTTCTTTCCTTTTTCTGGGAGAAGAGCACTAATATGCTGTCATGATGACACGTTTGAACTGCAGTACTGGTTTATTTGTTTAGTTTAGTTTAGTTTAGGTTGTGTTACTTATATTGATCTGCACACAGAGCCATTTTAAAATTATACTGCCCAAATCCAGCACTTCTGTTGAAAATAACCATGGTGAAAACCACAACCGAATGGCAAAAGTAGAGTTTAAACTGAAGGGATTTAAATGAACATACGGACCCTGTGTAAATCCTACTTGGACCAGTCTTAGAGATGTAGCAAATCCTAGTAAATATCCATGCTCAGTTATCAGTGCCATGGAACATGACTTGCATGCTCCTTTTTACTGTCTGAGAAGATATATGCAGTCTTTAGTAGACAGATATTCTTATTCTAGTTAAATGATTTGTGTGTTATTCTGCTGCATTTTTCCAACATTGTTTGCTACCTTCCCAAAGCAAATGAATCTTTGTTTTTGTTCTCTTAATAGATTCTGCGTGTACTTGGTGAAAATGCAATTGCTGTTCGAACAAAAGCCATGAAGTGTTTGTCTGAGGTTGTTGCTGTAGACCCCAGTATTCTAGCCAGGGTAAAAAAAAAAATGAAATATCCATCATGCACATGCGTTCTTCTGTCACACTTGAAAGAAATCTTTATTTCTTATTTTGGATCTGTGTTTTATTTGTTCTTTTTAGCTGGATATGCAACGAGGTGTTCATGGACGGTTAATGGATAACTCCACTAGTGTACGAGAAGCAGCTGTGGAGCTGCTTGGCCGATTTGTGCTCTGTCGTCCTCAGCTTGCTGAGCAGTATTATGACATGCTGATCGAAAGAATATTGGTACAGTGACTTGTGATATTTACAATAAAATAAGTGTCATTGGAAAATGTGTTTTCAGCTGAGCTTATATGTTTAATAATATGGAATGATGATCCCAAGAGTAAATTAGATCTTATTATTTTAAGGAGGAACATCGTGTTTTTAAGACCAACCTTGTAAAATGCATCACTTGTTTCCAGTGAGTCTTTGTTATATCAAATGGTAAACATACATAGAAAGTTGTACTGCATCACAACCAAGATCAAATTCCTTTTGATTCCTTTATTAAGGCACAAATTAGGGATTTTGCCACATCTCTGAAGTCTGACATATGGGTCATTGAGGGCAGTTCAGTAGTGCAAGTGATGAAGAAAGATCTACAGCACAGTAATATAAAGTTGCCATTTGTAAACAAAAAGAAAAAAGATAAAACTATTTTGTTTTTCTATGCTATGTATTAGTGTTTTAAAAGGCTTCTTATTAGATTTTTTGTATAAAATGTGGTTTTTTGTCTGGATGTTAAGATAAAATGCAATGTTAATTTAACTGTAAGATACCACTAGCTTTTAGCATCCGTGTCATATTTTTAGTCAAATACTACTCATTTGCTATAGTTACATGATAAAATTGTGAATTTTGTGAAGGGTTTTGGAGATGTGCATATGAGCATGCATAAAGCTATTAATCCTGACATTCAGATTAAACAGGTTTTGAATAAGGTAATATGAAATGAAGCTCCTCATCCTTTTCCTTGGAGAAAGAATAGGAAAATGGAAAAGGTTTGCTGCATTTATCTCATCCATAAGTTTTATCTAAAGGCTTTTGAAGTATTATAGTCCAGATCTACAAAGGGTGTTGTGTGTTCCAACAAAGTAACTAAAGCATCATCACATCTAGCGAGTAAGCTCTTGAATTAAGAAGTGAAATTATACATATGCAGCATCATGAGCCCTTAAATGGGAGGCTATAAATGGAGGAAGTGTTTTAGTGTTCTGGAGACTCAGCCAGAACCTTTAGAATAGTTGTAAATAAAGTGGTACAAGTTATGCTGACCTTTTGTATAAATGCACTCCAGAATATTTTAGCTGCCTTTTCTAAATATGTTTTGCAGGTCAGATTGGGTGATCTTCAAATATTAATTCATATAATACATAAATTAATATGTCTGATTTATTTTCAAGAGTGTAATGCTTTTCTCCTCACAGGATACTGGTATCAGTGTCAGAAAAAGAGTCATAAAGATACTTAGGGATATCTGCATTGAACAACCAACATTTCCCAAAATTACAGAGATGTGTGTGAAAATGATTCGGAGAGTCAATGACGAAGAAGGCATTAAGGTAGAATGAAACATATCCTTCAGGATTTTAATTATCATAATCTGATTCTATATTTTGACCAAAAAAAAATTTTAAAAAGTATTTTATTGCTCCTTTGTAATTTTAATGGGTTTCATTCACTTTTAATTTTTGAGAGCAAATATCTTGGCTTTCTACATTGCTGTCTAACTTGGTTTTCTTTCGTTTCTTTCTTCTATTTTCTTCAAGTTGTTGCTGACAATCAAAAAATTTTAAAAGGTTATTGTCTAGAGGTTTTTTTAAAATTAAAAATTATTTATTGAAAGGATTATCATGCATTGGAACAGGCTGCCCAGGGAAGTGGTAGAGACATGGTTTAGTAGTATACAGGTTATGGTTGGAACCAATGGTCTTAAAGGTTTTTTCCAACCAAATGTTTCTATAATTCTGTTTTTTCTTCTTGCATGTTTTTTCTCTGATACTTCTCTTTTCTAACAAGTAAGATTGGCATATAAAACTCCTTTCTACAAACAATATAAACTTTTAGTCAAAATTAATTATGTGGTTACTATATACCAGATTTGTGTGTTCTGTGTATGAAAATTATAAAGTATTCATCTGTGCTACTTTTGCATTAATTCTGAATGTTTAATGAATCAGTTATTCCCCCTAAAATGTTACTTATGTGATCATATTCTACTATTTGTGCAATGTATATGCAGAAGGGCATAAAACTAAGATTATATGTTGAATCATAAACCTGACACTGATTTTTTTTGTTTGATTTGGCAAAAATAATTTTTAAATTGCTGGATAATTAAGAATACACCTATAATAATTTTGTATCACACTTTCAGTGGGATTTGAAATCTGCAACTTTAAAGCTGCAGCATATATTTTTACCACTTGAGATATGTTAATACCAATGGCTTTCAGAGAAGACTGTTAATCAAGAAGTAGATGAACAGCTGGATCCTAGGTGCTGCTAGTAAAGGATGACCTTGTTCTCTCTCTTCCTTTCCAACAACCTCAGAAAGATGAGGCAGTATCTGCAACGTATTTTTTTATGTCTCCATGAATGAGGAACGCTTCTTACAACCATATGCTTTATAAGTAATTCAAGAATAATTAGTTCACTTTCATTCTATTCCATCTTTTCCTCCATCCATAACATTGGAAGGGAACCGACTTCCTATGTTTGGGTAGGGAGACTTGGCTTCTCTCTCTCTTTCCCACCTTGTCATAGCTGTTCTGAAAATGCCAAAGTAATCTACAATTGCTGCTAATTCAGCTGTAGAAAATGTAATCTTGTGTTCTGTTGTCAGTTTCTCAGGGTACTGTTTTCCTGGGGTATGTAAATTGGTGCAGGAAAGTGGTAACTACATTTTCTGTAGCGTCCATTTCCAGTGATCATTTTAGTGAAGCTTGCTTAGAGGCCAGTATAACTGCTGTAATAGTAGATCTGGGTCTGTCTCAGATAACATTCTCTACAACAGTATCATTGAGGTTGAGTAATTCCTTACAAAATGACATGTATCATCAACATGCTGTTGTACGGATGTATTAGAAATAATAACTACATGCCAAGATAAGCACATTTATTTCTGCCTTTTTTTTTTCCTTCAGAAATTAGTAAATGAGACATTTCAGAAGCTCTGGTTTACTCCAACTCCACACCATGACAAAGCAGCAATGACCAGGAAAATACTAAACATCACTGATGTGGTATGTTAAACAAATTTGAATTAAGTTGCATGAAAAATTTGATTATGTTTTTAGTATCTTTGAAATATTGTCTGTAGTCTTTTAGAATACAAAAAATATGCAAGTAATTTAATTATCAGATGGTTTTCTTTATATGTCTCCTGACATTGAATACATGCTAGAATTATTCTTCTGGTGGAACAGGCTGTAGGAAACTTAAAATGCTCACTAATCTGCTGTCACTGATAACTGAGACCACATTATATTCAATTTGTGTAAAATACTTGTTCAGTTAAAATGCAACAGATTTCTGTTATATTTAACATTTTCAGGAAATGCTAGTTAAGCCTAACTAAGAAGTTGTCTCTTAAAGGAAAAATTTCCTCAATTGATAACATTTAATTTGAAAGGTTAATAAGCTGTTTTAACAAATAACAGGGTCATGTTCTTACCCAGGGTAAACTAGGATCTCCATAATTTTATCTACTTTTTAGGAGCAGCAAATTAAATAGCATGTCTAAAAATGTGAAAATGTGTTGTGTAAAACCATTTTTCAAATGCAATTTGAAAAGACAGTTTCTGATATCCAAAGATATTGTACTGAATGTATACGAAAATATATATATGCATGTTTACTGATCTTTTAAGATTACATCTGTATTGAAGTAAATTTTATTCCAATGCCTTTTTTAACCAATTTATTCTCAAAACTACTTTTAGGTTGCAGCTTGTAGAGATACAGGGTATGATTGGTTTGAACAGCTTCTTCAAAATGTAAGTAATTAATTTTGAATATATGGCACAATAATTGTAAGAATTTTAATATTTCTTTTGGTACTAAAACACATTGAAAGGATACTACAAGACAGTAGACAAATTCAATTCATGCCCTTTAAACATCTGACCTTTTTTTAAATCTTCATTGGTGTAATTTTCTTTGTCTCCAACATTACTTTCTTTCTTTCCATATGATCTGTTTTAAAAATATTTCACTTTTTGTTTTGGGGAGGGGTTTTGTTTGTTTTTAATTTCATGGTCTCTTGAGTAATGAGTGACATAATATTAAGTCCACAGCTAAGATACTGAATTCTGAAATTAGGTCTTTAGTGTAATGTAGACTTTAAAAAATGGTAGATAAGTGTATTATCATGTCAAATATATTTGTTGCACAGTTTATAGAAGCAGTGAATCTTCAGAGTATAGCTTACTTCTACATTATATTTTACTCTGATTTTTCTAAGAAATGAGCTTGCTTTGTTAATATCTCTCAGCCCGTGTTATCTTTCACCTCTACAACTTGTATGTGTTCGTTAATTTTCAAGCAAAATTAACAAAAGCATGCATGGGGGGATTAGAGGTCTCCAAAGATTTTACTTTAGCCTGGAGTGCCATGAAAATAGGTAGCCTGTTCTCTTCTGTCTTTTTGTCATGGTTACTTTTTCTTTACTTCTCTTGCATTTTGGTTTGTTTGTTTGTTTGTTTTACTTCCCTTATTTTCTTCACATGTAACTTTAATGGAGAAGTTAAATGCTTTTGTAGTGCAAGATCCTTGTGTACCTGTAGTAATTGTGATAAAACCAGCATATATCCAATGTAAATGAATGCACCCTTAATACTAAATCATTTTCTGTTTCACCTGCTATAGCTGTTGAAGTCAGAAGAGGATGCCTCATATAAACCTGTGAAAAAAGCCTGTACTCAACTTGTTGACAATTTGGTTGAGCACATTCTTAAATATGAGGAATCCTTATCAGGTAATATTGTTTACAACCCAGTAGCTCCTTTGAATTTTATATGAAACTGTAACATTGGTTGTTCAAATTGCTATCATGAAAAGTTATTACAAAACTGATGGTAATGAATTATTACATTTAAGCTCATTATGAACTTTTGAGCACTGTATAATAATAAAGTTTACCTAATTTTCTCTAGCTAACCACAATAACAGAACTACATTTAAAATAACTTGTTCAAATTTTTAGATCACTAAAAGCAAAACAAATGTGGCAAGCTTTATTTGCATTAATATGTTCTACAGTTGTAATAGGAATCATTGACTGAGTCAGTGTTCTGTGTACAGTAAGTAGTTTAAAAACTAGTGGTGTCTCTGAAGTATCTTTGCTTCTTACTTCACATATTTTGTGATCACATACAAATGTTAACACATTGTGTTCTCATCTGTAATCTAATAAGAAAATTCTCTATTGATCTTGAAAGATATGTTATAAAAGAGAGATTCATGTGATGTTTTGGTCATACGTTATTCATTACTCAAACGTTACTTTGTGTATTTTCTAATATTTTTGCAGATACTGACAACAAAGGTGTGAATTCTGGTCGCTTGGTTGCTTGCATAACCACTTTGTTCTTATTCAGCAAAATCAGGCCCCAGCTAATGGTTAAACATGCCATGACCATGCAGCCAT